TTCCATGTTGATCAGAGTTTTTGTCCTAACCAGACGCGACGGCAACTTTCTAATTTAGAGACGGTTCCTATTTCTGCGACGTCACGGCTGACAGAATGAAGAAATTACACTGATTATGAGTATATACATTATTTATTCACTGTGCCACAAGCGAAAATGGATAATTTACCTCTGATTTTGAAAGCATATAATATAGCGTTCAAAATGAATTCTATGCAAACAGACAACTGTAGGCTACTTCATAACAAAATTAGTCAATGAGTAGGCTATATTTTGTTAATGTTTTGATTTTTAATAATGTTATTTCTTGATTTGATGATGTCCTTACCCATTTCCAATGCGAGTGCGGGCCAGCAGTGCGCTTTTTCACAGAGAGACTCCACCCACACGCTGTTCTGATGTGTGGCATCTCAAAGTCCGCATCTAGTGTGGACAGACCCACTTGCTGCCGCTGGAATTTTATCGCGTCGCGTGTAGTTAGGTGCTAAGCTGTTTTATTATTTTCCGTGGTGTCAAATGTTCTTTTCAAAATGCCCTGCCAGATAATGTTCTATGAATTGCGGTCCAGTATCTGTCTTTCCAGAATAAACAGGCAGGATTGTACCACCTTGCAGACGCTGCCAATGTCAATTCCCTGCCAAGTAGCTCTGGGGGTCAGCCTTCATTTCGATAATACCGTTTCCAGGACGTTCTCTTCTGGTAATGGCTTTCTTTCAGATCCCAAATGAGCGACCATCTGTTATACCGGCCTTGCTGAGATGAGCTCCAACACGTGATGCTACCGTCAAACATTAATGCTCGTATCTTGTTTGTTTATTCCCTGCTTTAAAATGGTGGTTGGTCTGATTGATTAAACCATTGCATGCACTGGGGTAGAAGATTGTTCAATAGTTGATTGTATTTTCGAAGTTGGATGGTTATCGTCTTCGATCCACAACCTTTTCAAGGGGTAGACTGTTGATAAGATCAAGTCTTTGTATTGAAAGACAAGCAGGCTGGTATCCTATCACCTCTAACCTAAAGGTTACAACATGCTCTCATCAGGTTCAACAAGGATTCATGATGGTTGATGGCTTTATCAGGTCATTAAGTGCCTGTTGTGTAATTTACCAGTGTAATTGGAATTGATAAGGTCTGTGTATAGTGCCTAAGAGTCTCTCTAAACCTGTGCCGTGGACTTCCCTGCGGATAAGATTGTATATTCCTGATTTGGGTCAGCATTCAGAGGGTAAAACCAGTCATGTAAGGGAAAAGCTATTGGGACGTGAATGTCTAACCGAGGGCTGTATTGGAAAGCTTGATAGTGAAGTGATTTATGACCTTCTCACACTTCCTCACTGGGATTTTCGTCCCCAAGGGCCAGTTTGCAGTGCACAAATATGCTGTCCTTTCACCTACAGTGCAGTTTCTTCCTTGAAGCAGATTTTGATTTGCGTCGTCTCTGCATAGAACCCCAATATTTGCTTACTCTTTGCATCTTATTTGAACTGTGTGCACAGAGTATTGTGTTTAAGGTATATGGAAATCGTTGGCTTAAGCTGAATGCGAGCTGTAAAAACTTGGTTACACTGGTTACATAGTGTAGTCATAGACATTGAAATACAATTTGCCACAGAAAGCTAGATGCTGTTGTAATTTTTCATATTTACCAGGAAGAAATTGCACTGTGCATTGTAATACCGTGAACTGTATTTTCAAGATTTTTCATTGATTTTTTTTCTCTCTGTATACGACATATAGATTTTTGTACTTTTACATTTGTGTGTTAATATAAATGTGTCATTTGACACCAAAGGCAGGCCACTAGGAACTAATGAACGTCTACGACACCTACATGTCGACCATATTAATACACACATGCCTTCATTCTCAGACTTTTCACCTTTACTTGTGAATGTTTTTGTACTCCATCATGGTACGGTCTCATCCTTGTCTGTTTTCCTGACTTTTACAAAGTGTAGTCTACAGTAACCAGTGATTTTGATTTAGGGAGTAGGGTTGTAAGATCACAGAGTAGTCAAGAGTTGGGAAAAAGTCATGTTAGATCATAAAACTGGACATTTTATGACGGTGCAATTTAACAGCATGATGACTGTTCTGCCTAAAGAAGAGTGTTCCTGTAGGAAACAAGAGGGAGGGCACTTTGACCATTTTTATGTTGTTTTGTCTGGTATTTACCACCTCCCGTTTCCTCTTCCTGTTTCTTTTGACACCTCGTTGGGGTCCTCTTCTACTTGTGGTTGTGTAAACCCAATGGTTTCTCCTGACAGAATTTTGGAAGTGAGATTTGCCCCTTTTTTTTTTAAAGAAAAGTCAGAATTGCAAAAGTAAATACATCAGACATTATTATTTTTTTCCTGTTGAAAAACTTCTCGCCGTCTAACTCGTGCAAAAACTTCATAGCGTACTCTCTTGGGAGATTATTCTTCATTTCATTGGCTCTAGCAACAGTAAATGTGGAAAAGATGTGTGAGTCCTCTGCAGGAGGCGTTTGAGATGTTGCATACATATATTGCACACAATAATTCTGTCATGTTGCGTCTTCAACTTCACTAGAAAGAGCCTGGGCTGTTAAATGAGGAACACAGCTGGTTGGCAGCTTTGAATTTGTTGAAGAGGGTTGCATGCAGTGCCAGACTAATAATTAAAGTACAAGAAACAGTGTCGCCCAAACTGCTGTGTTTGTAATCAGTACAAATGCAAAAACTACAACGAATGTCTTTTGTTGTTGTTGAGGAGTGTTCCAGTTACCATATGCTATTGTTTTCCTTCCCTTTTCACACATACACTTGTGTTTGGTAACATCAGCACCCTAATTAGCTGAATTCTTCTTTCTTTTTATCATGTTGTCAGTGAATCTTGCCAAGTAATGATGCCTTATGGTTGAGTGAAATGACCTAGAATAAGACCGATTTGTAGTTATGGATTATTATGGGAACAAAATGAAATCTGCTGCTTTAAATTAAAAACAGAAGTGTTGAAACCATGGCCAAGTGCACATGCTCTGAAACATCCAAGGTAAGTGGAGTCTGTGATGACTTTACCTGCCCTCTTCCTCACCAGGTGGGGAGGGGTGCACCAATAATCCTTTCAGCAGTCCGGAGTGTCCGTTCTTTTATCTGATTTGCCGTTTAAGCCGATTAATCCATTTAAAGCATTTTCTACTGGTTGAGAGAGGAAAATTACTGCAGTAAATTGACTTAGGATGGTCTATTTTATTGTCAATAGTTAATATTGTAGAATAGAATATCGCCCAGTATAACCTAAAATTGTTATTTCTTAACGTTCTAATTACATTCTTATAACCAAGCAAGAACGTTAACGTCTAAAAATAAACTGAACGATTTGAATGTTCCTAGAAAATTTTGAAATAAAGTTTTTATAATTTAATGGGAACGTTTTGAAAACGTTCTTATAACCTAAATTTGTTTGCTGGGGAAGATGAGAGATTTGCGATTGCACTGATCATAGTGATGCACGATATATCGGCCAACATATCGGTATATGCCGATATTTGTTCATTTTTATGTTATCGTTATCGGCCCGATCATAAAATTTGACTGATATTTTAAAGCTGAAAAATAATGAATTATTTCCTTCAATACTTGAGACAATTAAGATGCGCACTGTTCAACAAGATTGATCTTAATTGCTTGAAATATGATGAATCAAAAAGGAACATATAGTTAAGTGCAAAATGTGCTGTCATATCGGCTACATGAAATTATAATGAGAACATTATAATTGTGCGATTGGGAAATGGATTTTAATTGTGAGGCTTTTGTTTTTGCATTCAGGCTCTCAAAAATTATATTTCGATTCATCGGCCGATATATTGGTTATCGGCTTTCAAATATAAAGAATTATCGGTATCGGCCAAAATCTTCACATCGGTGCATCCCTAACTGAACACGTTTTAATTGCAGGATTCTCTGAGTGAGCCCAGAGAAAATAGACCTTTTCTTACAAGAGCAGCGTGTATCTGAGAGCAGAGATTTGTGCTTGCTCGTTATATTAATTTACTTTCGCGCTACAATAGTGCGCTCTTGCACTAAGAAGTGCAACATTGGGTCCGTCTGAAACCGTGCAGCGTAACATTCGTTCCGTACATTGTGTAATTAAATATTAAAAATGAACATCATAACAAAAATAAACACCGGTTTTCAGTATGAACTGGTATACCGCCCAGCACTAAATACAATGATGGTATTCTAAAATAATTATTGAATTAATAGTTTAAAATAAGCAATTAATCATTTATTTTACAAGAAATTAAGCTGATATTTGAGAAAGCATAAAAATTAAAAAGATAGAAATATTTTTATTATTACTGTGGTTGTTGTTGAAGCTGCTATGTTATAATTATTATTAATGATGATAATTAAAATATTGATAATGGTGGTAATAATAACAATACTAATATAGCATCACATTGTTTAAAATTTAACTACATTTTTTATTTTTATAACAACAGGGCTATTTTTATTATTATTTCATATCATATATTATTTAACAGCTACATTTTATTGCGCAAACATGTTGCGGGTATTGAAATCGTCAGTGTCCCAGTGTTTTTAGTGGATCCATATTAGTGTTATTGATAAACTGATTCACATCATTTGAAAGTAAGGAGAACCAAGTCCAAGTATATGAAAGGCTAAATGTATTGTCTACACTATATTATAGCACCTTTTATCCAGGATGTTGTTTTCGTGTCATCTACTAAATAATCTGACATGGCCTGATCGGTTGATCTTAACCCTGTCTTCTCTTTGAGGGTGTTGACTTGACTCACAAGGTTTATATTTGTTGAGTTGTGGTTTGTTTGCTCTCTAGACAAGATTTCACCGTAGGCAGGGCATTAGTGACCACATCTCAGAGGCTCTGAGGTCTTTATCATAGAGCTATCGGTTTTATTTCAAGCTACAGCTAGGCTCTGATCCTAGAGGTAATCCCACAGGAATTCTTCTCAAATGGTTTGTTGTTGTATTTATCCACAGGTAGTCTCAAAGGAGCCACCATTGTGGATGCACTGGACACGCTCTACATTATGGAGATGTATGACGAATTCGAGACTGCTACTGAGTGGGTGGACCGAAACCTAGACTTTAACATGGTAAGACTCAAGCCTTTTATACTTATTTCTGATGATCCAGTTGATTCTTACTTCCTTCCTATAAAAATTCCCCTGAATAATACAACGGAATAATGAGTTTTTGATACGGCTTTGAAAACCTTTCTGCGTGCTGAAAGGAATGTCTACTAGCATCACCGCTTATTAATCTGCCAATAAGACTCTGACTCACGGCTCTGGTGTAATGTGTGAGGAGACTCTCCACATCCTCCAAGCTTCATAAACTATCTTCCACATCATAATTTCTGCTATTTTAGTAATTTTAATTCCAGACTCCGAGCCCCTGAACATTGACTGTTAACTCCATGATTTGCAGTTCAGTTTACGTTTGTTTCGTTTTGTTTTTTTCTTTTTTTTTACGGCTATGTCGCCATGATATGATGGTTTTACTGTTTGTATGGTGTGTTTCAGTCCAGAACACAATGCAATAAATAGTTAATCAAGAGTGTCTGTTATTGAAGGATGGGGCAGGTAAAAACAAACCCTATGCTAATGTCTGAGCAGACATGAAGAAGGCAAAGTTGTTTTTCATTTGACGTGCAATTTGTTGCAAAAAAGGGGGTCAGAGGAGGTAAAATATCTTAAACTAAATTATGAAGTTTTGTCGTCATGTTTGGGCTATATATATATATATTCATACTTCTGTTCAAAAATATTTCAAAGATGTTTTTTTTTTCTTTTGAAAGGAAGCATTAAATTCATCAAAAGAGGCAGTGAAGAGATTTTTTCTAAATATTTCCATTTTAAATAGGCGTAAATGTAAAAAAAAGTCTGTAATGAACAAAATCTATATAAAGAATAAACTATTTTCAACATTAAAAATAAAAAAAAATGTATTGACAACCAAATTTGTCAATACACTTTTTTTTAAAGCATATTAGAAAGATTTTTGAAAGATCATGTGACTGCTGATAATTTAGCGTTGCCATCACAATAATTAATTTGTACATATATAAATATATTAATTAATTTCAAAAAAGTTAAATTGCAATAAAATTTCAATTTTTTTTTAAATAACTAAATGCCACAAAATTTACTTCTAAAAATTGACATTTGTTAGTATTAATTCTTATGATAAACAATTCTTCTGCCAAGTAGTAGTTCATGAACGGCAAGCGGTTTACCATTTAAATGAAGAATTTACGTATAATTCAGATGATTAAGTGTGTTCACAGGTGTGAGCATATCTGCTATTTTCTCTTTTAAGTGTGATTCACCCATCTAGATATTAGAGCTGGAATTATTAGTCTTTTAATGAATGTCAATAATACCTCAGTAATATGAGAAATGCTGAACTATTTCATCTTCAGACCTGCAGATCAGCACTGAAGGCATTAATCTGATTAATCATAAAGCCAAATTGACAATGAATAAGTGAAGAGTAAAATGGAATCTGTACTTTATGCAGATCACTCCAGAAATGACTAAACAAAGCTGATGAACGAATTAAGACACGCAGGATAAATTAGGCCAAAATGATGCTTTGTTTGATGTGGCTCTTTATTGAGGTGTTTCATTAGACATTCTGCAGGGGTTTACTTTTAGTTAAGCATCGGAATTTATTCCGTACATCCTACCGCCTCAATTTAAGGCAAGAGAGAAGACTGTATCTGGGTCCAATGCTTTAATGAAGAGTGTTAAACAACTTTTAATTGAAAGGCTTTTCTTTCTACCCTCAAGCAATTCCAACAATGAAAGAGACCACAAAAATCCCCTGTGAAACGGTTATTAATATTCAGCTTGTCTCTTGAATACTAAGCAACTCTTTTCTGATGCACGGAAGCCTTTTTTTTTTCTTTCAGTGGAATAATTGTAGCCATTGTAAGTTTAGTCATGCTGCTTTATTTGACCTCTGCTATCATCCGGTTTGAAGCTAAAATGTGTTTATCTAAGTGAAGGCTATCTGTTAATCGAGCTAACAATTACTTTATAATCTAGAGTATGGTTTCAGATCGGTGTGGTCCAATCTCTTTGGCAACTCATTGATTATATTAGGAGACATGATTAATCTTGTTTATCCTTGCACATAATCTCAGCATTTTATTTGTCTAGCATTTGTATGTTTAATCGGGTCATTCCTGAATCCTCATTACCACATTCAGTTGTTTTACAAGTTGTGATCAGATTGCTTCACAGAGAAATCTGACCCTGGAACTGAACTGAGGAGGAGAGCCACTTCACTGTATCAACAGCCCTGATCTCTCATCTTTTATGCTGTGGGATACTTTTATTCCTGTAAAAGCCAGCATCATCGAAGGTCAGATTCACAGACTGCTGTAAAAGACCGCTGTGTTGCAATGACCACAAATCCCAACTGGACTCGAACCCAAGTGAGATAACCTTTCAGACTGAGACACTATACTGCTGGGGGATCAAAAGCATATAAATAGAAAATCCCTTCCCTTTTTATACGGATTACCAATCAGAGACATAGCATTAGATTCAGCTCTCAAGCACAGTGTGGCTCATTGTGTCCATCCCTCTCTGTTCTCTCTAGGGCAGACTCATCTGAAGTATGCATTAGAGCAGGGGTTTCAAAGTCAAAGACAGTGGGCCTCCCTTGAAATACATGATTGCACTGTATGAACCGTATACACACACCGATTCTTTATAAATATGTCAAAAATATTCAGGCAAAGATATCTGTCAAAATCTGTCAAAGATATTCAGGAGTAGCTAATGATTTTTCTGGGGAGGCGCACACCCCACACTTTGAAAACCCCTGCATTAACACAAACTGTTTTGTTCGACATCTAGACTGCATCATAACTGTGCTTCTGTCTGTTGCAGATTGATTTTATTTTTTAAATACCCATATCATTTTCTCTAAGGGTTTTTCCACCCTTTCCTCATCAATATCAGCGATTCGGTTGGCTTTATATTTTTCTAAGCGAAGCAAAGTCTTAGGCAGCTCTTTAATAATTGCAGAGTCTGTGGAGGTTTTGCATCGCTGCTTTTGCCTCTTATAACTTCTACTGATTCCCTATTGACTTTGTTCATATTCATGTGAGCAGGGAGAAGTTTGCAGACGTGAACTTCTGACATGTCCCACTTTTTAGTTCTACACATCAGTCTATGTCCCTTCTGCCATGCATTTCTCAGGCTTTGCCAATGGTTCAATAGTTACCATTGATTCACACAAAGTTCTATCCAGTTTTATCAAGATTTTTACAGTATTAACTCCCCCCACTCCCCTTTCTGTTTTTTCTTTTTCTTTTTTCTCCAATGTTGACATGTACAAGAAAGCCTTCGTCATGGTCTTTTTGTGCCAGTTCCTGACAGGTCCCTCTATGACCCTCAAAAGGGTTGAGCCATCATCCGGAAACATCTGGAGCCCTGTTGCAACTGGAACAGTATAAGCATATGAGAGGAGGCCCTCCATAGGGGCTTTTGCACCGGAGGAACATTTTCTTATGCTACTTCTTATGGCGGAAGTACAGGGGTTGGACAAAAAAACTGAAACACCTGGTTTTACTACACAATAATTTGTTAGAATGGTGAGGGCCTCATTTTGCATCCAAATACAGCACCAATTGACAGATAGAAGTCCTTCACAGTGACCAGAGGGATTATGAGCCGTTCCTCTTCCAGAACAGTGTCCAGGTCACTATATGATGCTGGTGGACTCGCTCCTCAAACACCTCAATAATATTCAGATCTGGTGACTGTCAGACCATGGGAGATGTTCAACGTCACTTTCATCTTCATCAAACCCTTCTGTCACAAGTCTTGCTGTGTGTGTTGGTGCATGATCATGCTGATACACGGTTTGAGCATCAGGTGCTCATGATCCTCCAGAAGGGTTTGGTAGTCCTCGGCAGTGTCGTGTCCATCAAATACAATCAGGATTGTCGTGATATCGGAGCTCAAACCATCACTGATCCACCCGTGCTTCACTCTGAAGATTGGCCGCCAGGCATATACAGTAGATGTGAAACCTCCAACATTGGCCAGTGTTTCAGTTTCATTGTCCAACCCCTGTACCTGCTTTTTTGGCGTGTTTGCACCGCGGAAACATGGAGCGAATTTAGTTACAGAATAATTTACTTCAGAGAAGGGTCTAACTTGGCACAATAAGTACTAATAGAGATGTAAGTGTACGTTGATTGGCAGAACGCACGCCATATGAAACACTGACATCCACCATTCTTAAAAAGCCATGTAAAAAGCCGGTTTACTTCTACTTACTCCATGACCTAACTCCACAAACATGGAAAACCAGATACTAGATAGCATTTACATGCCATCTCAGCCTCTGATGTGTAGAATTGCAAGTTGTCATAGGAAATTTATCTCTTAGTCTTGTTTTTTGCTGTTTCACTCACACAACTTGTACGTCTACATTCCGGGCACTATCATACACCCGGTACAATGCATTGGCAGGCGCGACCCTAGAGTTTCTTGCTAGTTTCAGCCCAACGCATTTATCATTTTCACGTCCTGCGCCACGTTGTTTAAATAGCAAATGCATTTGCACCTATTTGTTCACTCAGTCCTCCAGGGGTGGGAATCTTTGGTCGCCTCACGATCCGATTCCGATTCTGGGAGTCACAATCCCCCCCCCCCCCCCCCCTATTAATTCATTAGTTTTTATAATTAAGTAGGCCTACTTTTTAAATAATTACAAATTTTCTACAAAATAATTAAAACAGTTGTTTGTTAAGAATTTTAAACTAATTTAACTTCAAAACATACAAGCAAGTAGCAAATAATAAAGAGAAGCAATAGCAACAAACAACAAACAAAAAGTGCTCTTATTACAAAGAAACTCTTATTAACGAATTAGTAAGTAATACCTCACAGATGAAAGTGTTACTAGATATTTCTGTGGGAATTACTAATTATTTGGATCCGTATTATAAAGTGAAGATCATTGGAACTAACTAGTTATGACTCAAGTGTTACTACATGATAGTCATGATTTGTGCAAACATTTGAGATTTTTGGTGAACTTTAGTATACTTTTAGAAAATGTCTTTAGTAACACTTGAGTCATTACTAGTTAGTTCCCATGGTCTTCACTTTATGATATGGATCCAAATAATTAGTAATTCCCACAGAAGTATCTAGTAACACTGTTATCTGCGAGCTATTACTTACTAATTCGTTAATAAGAGTTTATTTTAGTTAATTGTAGTTACTAGATTGTTAATAAACTTTTTCAGTAGTTCTCTGGGAAGTATTAAAAATTACTTGCAGTTATTGATTACTTAATAGTGAACTACCACTTTCGTCTGTGCGCTATTACTTACTAGTTCGTTAATCAGAGTTTCTTGTTAGTTAATAATAGTTACTAGATTGTTAATATTGTGTTACTCATTGGTTCTTGTGTAGTTATTCATTAACGAAGGAACCGTATTCTAAAGTGTTACCCTATTTTTTTCTGATACTAATGACACGTACGTTTGTTTTTAACACGTACGTTTGTTTTTGTCACAGCAACATAAACAAATTTTCCGCACACATAAAGATGGATGTTTGGGTAATATGTTAATAAATTAAAATAAATATATTTTAATCACAAAAACAAACATTTGCATCCGGTTAAACATCATAATAAGCTGTTTTAAATGTAAAATGTTCAATGTCTTATTGCGCCGACGTGACCGAGCCCGACCCGAATGTCATTTCAAAATTTGTCTGTCGGGTACTGTTGGGGTTGGTTCGGGTGTCCATTCTCCAGTTCCTATAGTGGAGTTCTTATAACTGTCTGGTGCAAAAGCCCCTCATGACCCCCCTAACCACCCTTAGATATCAGCTATTTATCTGTCTCTGAACGGATATTTACCAATGTGATGCAAGATATGTCTCTGCTGCGCCACCTGTGAACCATTATGAAATTGTTTTGATAGCATATGATAGCACTTTCCTATGCTAAGCAATAATGGGTCATTATTGTTTGGGTGCCCAGAGACACAAATAATTCACCTCATAAACCCTCAGACGAGACCACAGATGTCTTGCTGTGGTCAGACGGTTTAACATCAAATGACAAAGGCTAAATGAGAATTGCGGTTTGGTTTCATGCCACAGGTGCCAGATTGCACTGAAATAATCACAATCTGAAATATTAATGTAATATAATGTAAACTGTTCCAGCTAAAACTGCTGTTTGGTTGTTCAGTGTGTTTGGGATTTTTTTCTCCGCATTTTTCAAATGCTGTAAAACAGTTGTTCTCAAACTTTTGAGGCCTAGTAGTATAACCTTTTTTCAAGTTGGCACTCTGCACCAGCAAGAGAACATTACCTATAAACAATGTATACATGGGCTATGCATGAGATTTAGATGCACAAAGATATATTGCAATTAGAATGAGAAATTAAAACAAAAATGCTTTAAACGTTAAGTAAAAGTGATTTTATATAAACTTTAACTTAATATTATGCTGTTTTTAATATATGTGACCCGTGCTGGCAAATTGAGTCGGAATGCGCACAGGATAATTACGTAAATTTTTGTCAAATTTGAGGTTTTCACAAAAAATTTGTTCAAGTCCTCATTTAGCGATCCCAGTTCTCCAAATAGCAATTAAACATCTAAAAGTATCTTTATTTGTATGTTTTCAGAGAGGAGTACCTTTCTTCTGTCCATGAAAAATGCTGTTTTCTCTTCTCGCTTCTTGACGACTGCCACTTTCCCTCAGCACAAGATTGGTATCGTTTTAAAGCGCGGCATTCCAACTTTTTGAATATTCATATCGAATTCTCGATGGCATGAATCTGAACCAATGAAATAACTTTTTGAATATTCATATCGAATTCTCGATGGCATGAATCTGAACCAATGAAATATGATTTTCATACTGATGTAAACAAAACAATCTTACTCGCACTGACTGAGACATCTGAAGCGTGAACGCAAAGACGCCTCAGACATCGCACAATCCAGATATATTCACGCAAACATTATCTGTTATGTTTTAAGTGAACTTTGGTCAACTGTTGGGGACAAAACATCTGATGTATAACATTTATATTATATCCGTGCATTACAATAGGTCAGAATATAGGCTTTCTGTTTCAATGTTAAAGGAGTAGATCACTTTTAAAAAACTTTTGCTGATAATTTACTCACCCCCATGTCATCCAAGATGTCCACGTCATTCTTTCTTCAGTTGAAAAGTTAATTAAGGTTTTTGATGAAAACATTCCAGGATTTTCTCCATATAATGGACTTCATTGGGAACCAAACAGTTCAAGGTCCAAATGAGAGTTTCAGTGCAGCTTCAAAAGGCTTTAAACGATTCCAGACGATGAATAAGGGTCTTATCTAGGACCCTTTGAGTCATGACTCAAAAAAAGATTTGTTCATTTTGATGAACGAGTTTGAACCGGAGAGTCACGAACGCTCATCACAGAATAGAGCAAGGCGAGCATTTGTGCTTATAAAACGTCAACTTTTTTTTATCTATTTTTGAAATGACCGATGGTTTTGCTAGATAAGACCCTTATTCATAGTCTGGTGTCGTTTAAACCCTTTGAAGCTGCACTGAAACTCTCATTTGGACCTTGAACTGTTTGGTTCCCATTGAAGTCCATTATATGGAGAAAATCCTGGAATGTTTTCATCAAAAACCTTAATTTCTTTTCGACTGAAGAAAGAATAACATGGACATCTTGGATGACATGGGGGTGAGTAAATTATCAACAAAATATTTATATATAATTTTTTTTTTATATAAATATTTGGTTTTGACTTGGTGTGTGACAAATTTGGTGTTATTACCAGGGATTTTAAGGTATGATTTCAGGTGATTTTGTTTTGAAACATTTTTCTCAAAATTGACAGGTGTTGGTCAGTCATCATTTTTTAAAATGTGCTCATTTCTTCTACTCATTTTGCCATAAACAATATACTGTACAAGTGAAAACGGAAAATATATGCTTAAATTCTGTAAATATCCAGGGTTATGCTGTGTTCCACCTGTCTGAGAACCACGGGTATAAAAGATATTTAATATAATATTGTTAGAGATGTAATAGTGGGATAAGTATTCTCTACTGCCGATAAATATGATGAAAGTATAACATCAAAGAGGTTTTCTATTGAAATATTACATTTGATCTATTTCTTTAATTTGAAGATAGCGTCTGGAGCATCCTCTCTTTACTGCTGTGTATCCTGTGATGTGTTTGTTCATGTAACGTGCATCAGGGTACCCCTTTACCCAGCAGTCACGGTTTCTCAGATCTGCAGAAAATATCTGCACTCAGATTTCACCCTCCTGTGGGAGCTTGTTTGTATCTTTACTCAATCCCAGCGGAGCTTTATCAGCTCTGTTGTGTTGTTTCATTTCTTTGTATTTGGTGTGTGAGGGTGAAGTGTGTTTGTAGTACACACACACACACGTTTCTCCCCTTCCTATTTTCAAGTTGAGCCAGTCACATTGTTTTCATGAGCTTAAATATTCACCTCTTTTGTTTTTCTGTGCTTTATTTCCTCAGAACGCCGAAATATCTGTCTTTGAAGTGAACATCCGTTTTGTCGGAGGCCTGCTGTCCGCCTATTATCTCTCAGGCAAAGAGGTATGTAAACCTGGAGTGTACAGATGTTTTTTCTTTTAATGTTTTACCAGACTGAATGTGTGTTTTTGGCCAAAGGATTTGATAGCAAGCTGGCTATAATTGACACGCTGCCTGTAGGAAGCTTGAAGCCTGTAGCTGGCATTTGTTCTCGACTCCTACGCGTTTAAAGACACAGATTTCCTAAATCTTTGTATGCAACTGTTGGAAATCAGTGACATTTATAGTTGGCAGGGCACAATAGACCACTCAGGAGAGCCACAGGGGCCTTAGGTCTGTCTTCTCCCGGTGGTCCGGCTGTTTGCCCGGTCGTTGAGCCAAGTCAAACAAACACACACACTCGGTCATCCCACTTAGAGCTCATTTGGAGATCCCAGTATATCCAGGAAGCTCTGTACCCACTCTGATAAATTGAAAGCCTTTTTGAAACCAAAAAGATGTTGGACTCTGAAGCGTGACCTGAAGTACACACACAAAGCCCATTTCCAAGCCTTCATTGAATCAGGATAATGCAGAACGTTGCTCATATTTCCGATCTCCTCTCCTGCAAATTAGATTTTCTTAGTAAAGTCTGGCAGAATGTGAAAGATCTGATTCAAATCAAAAGAGTGCCATTTTCGGCTGATACTCAGGGCTTTCTCAGTGCGTCCCACAGCAAATGTGCTCTCTGTGATAGTATAAGCTTTCATTTGTGCGGTGCAGAACAGAGCTTTGTCCGGAGGGGGGATGGATCATTGCGTGAGCTTCATCAGGCCTGTACTTGTGTGGTTTTGTTGATGTAAGGCAGACCCTTCAGCAGAACAGCCGTCTCTCGTCTACAATAGCTGTAGTAGTGTTGCTGAAGGAAGTTTTTTCTCTTCCTTTTTCTTCAGGGTGAATGACTTGACAGTTGTTTTTGTAATTAATGCTTCACTAATTTTTTAAAGAGCAGAATACACTACCATTCAAAATTTAGAAATAAAGGAAATAGCAATGCTTTTATTTAGCAAGGATTCACTGAATTGATCAAAAGTTACTGTAAAAACATTAATAATGTTACAAAAGATTTCAGTTTCAAATGCTTTTTTTTACTTTCTATTCATCAAAAGAACACTGGAAAAAATGCTAATTTCTGTAATTTTTTATTTATTTTTTTCTCAGTATTTGTGTATAATAGTAAATTGTAGGGGGCTAGGGGCATAGCTATCGTTTCAAAAGTGAGGGGGACAGAAATGTCAAGTGTAATGCCAGTTTTTTTTGTACCTTAGTCTAATTTACATATTTTATTTTATTTTATTTTAATTTCTTTTTTTAATTGGTTAAAAAATCAAATACAAACAATTTGTATTCTATATTTTTGGTGTATTCTTTGTGAAAATGGTATAATTGGTGTATGTACTACAAACACTTGTGCATTAAGTCTTTAATGCACAAGTCTTTTATAAGATTTTATACAATGTAAAATCGCAGAAAATAGTGATGTGAATTAATACTACATTATTCATAATAATATTCATCCTTTATTATAAAATACCCTGAGATAGCTTGAATAACACACATAAACCATATATTGTGATTGTCTTCACATTTCATTAAAATGTGTCTTAACCAGCTACAGCCAATAGAATGCCTTTGTCCAAATAAGGAAGTTCCTGGAACCACATGGTTCGTTTGGGACTTTCTGCGAGAGAGTGTCCTCCGGCTTCTAGTATTGCCTCATTTTGGATGAGAATAAAAGCATCAGGTCATGCATAGACTACCTTGTCTCTTTAAATTTAAATCTAGATTTATTCTCATTGGCCCATAAAAACCTCTAAGTGAACGCACTTGCCCCCTAAACAGTAAGGGGGGCGGATTTACATCCCCTGCATATCGTACGTCCATGTTCAGTTATGTAAACATGCAGTAGTTCTTATTGTTCAATAATTAAGCAAATTTATTTCTGAAATTATTTCAAATTTAAGTCATTTTTATGTAATTAAATGAATTTAATTGTAATGAAGTTGTATTATTTACTGTTTTTTTTTTTTACTTTACCCAAGAGAAAATCATTTATAACAAATTAATAAGTATGGAATAATGCATTTTATCATAGTGCCGAAGTGATGACATCACTTTGTAGGACAACTCGGAAGCTAGCGGCGCATGGGTTCCCTCGATCGAAAAGCAATGCATTTTCCCTATAGACTTTTGGGAAATCGCAAAAAATAAAGAGTTGTGACCCTTACACGTTTTGTCTATCAAGATAATCTTTACAAGTTACATTTTGAAGCCTATATAGAGTTTTTTAAAAAAAGCAGACAAAAAGTTTAAACAAAACACAAGCTGGTTATAACGGTCATAGATTAAAACGTGAAGATATTTAGAGGGTTTGTTAACCATAGACCTTATTTCAGCAAAAACCCATTCAAAAAACCCATAGACTTTAGAGCGAGGGAACCAGGAGTGCTAAAATGCCAACTCACTTCCGCGTTTTGGCCTACAAAGTGACGTGATAACTTTCGGGCCTCTATTGCTCTCAAATGTAAATCACATAAAACCCTATAGCACAGTCTCTACAGTTGAAACATTATACGGTCATACACCACCCAGCCCTACTGTGACCCTATTCATTTAATGACACATGACCTCTTGTCGTCCCGCGCTGAGATTCAGATGTCGGGTTACATAAGATGTGTGTGTCGAAATGTCTTTGTCAAACATTGTTTCAGATAACAGTGGATGTCTCCGCTATCGCTCTTGTTGTGAATAGTCGAACAGTGATATAAATCTTTGAACACTACGTTATTGTTCTCTCAGCAAGACGCAAGCTTGTTTCATCACTATTGACTAGGGAGGCACGGCATATGAAGCGGTTGAATACAAAGTGGCCAGACCTCAGTCCAGGATTGAAGCACAGCGCTGATGAAAGCCCTTCAGAGTCGTAATCTCAGACACTCAGGATAATGAGACGCCCTCCTGCCTACCTTCATAATAATGTGTGCCCTCAACTGAGAAATGTTGATTAGAGGAGAGAGCCTTCAGGTAGCCGCTCACATTGTTAAACCACAGCGAGAGATCTTAGTAAATGTGTCTGGCTTTAAATTCTTACTGGTCTTTGGAAAATGTAATCTTTTGGAGGCCAAACCCATTATAGGATTCTTCGAACACCGCATGGCTAAATCATCACTGGAGGAGGATGATTTCATCATCGCCGTTGCGAAGACGTTAGCTTTTCTTGGGAGGCATCAGATCGATATAGTGTCGGCGTTCTGCCAGGCAACATGGCCCGTTTCTCATCACCCTTTTGAATGGAGGCATGCATATAACATAAAGATTCTAAACGCGTTTGGGTGGTGGACGTGGTGCTAAAATTGAAAATCGGTGTGATTTCTTCTCAAGCTAGTGACGGCTCCAGCGCCTTGGCTTGCACTCAAATCGAGTCTCGGCTCTTTGATGAATCTTTCATCGTCTTGAGAGACAGCCTTCATGCAAATATCGCACATGCTCCCCAGAACGGGCGAAGCGAAGGGCCGCATTCATAGATGGCTTCACCAGCTAATGTTGTTTGCTGTGATTTAGTCCTGCTGTGGGTTTCCTCTCCTGAACGATGAGAGGATTAATCTCTGGCTGATTTATTCGTGCATTATTTACGCCCGGATGGTTTTCCGTCATTGACGTGAGCAGCCTGGGACAGAGCCACCTGTCAGAACACAGCACTTAACTCCTTAATGGATCACATATCGATTTTCGTCTTTTTTCCTTTTTTTTTTTTTTTTGGTCTATAATTCATTTTACATAACCTCTGGCAAGTCCCTTCTGTGCTGTAGATTTTTCTATACCTTGACAGAGATCAATGGATGGACAAATACTTTTTTTCAGTCCAGCTATAGTACAGCTCATGCATTTTGTATGAAAAAAAAGAAACATGTATGTCCAGGCTGCTCTTTTCCATAGAGTGAAATACAGTGAAAGTAAAAAAATAAAATAAAATGTAACTTAAAAAAATATTTATTAATATTGTCTAATTGAATACATTCACTCGCCTAAAGGATTATTGTGAACACCTGTTAATTTTCTCATTAATGCAATTATCTAACCAACCAATCACATGGCAGTTGCTTCAAGGCATTTAGGGGTATTTGCATCTCCACTACAAATAGGAAAAAGTGGCTACATTTTGTAAGAGCTCACCAAAATTGGACAGTTGAAGACTGGAAAACTGTTGCCTGGTCTGAGTCTTGATTTCTGTTGAGACATTCAGATGGTAGAGTCAGTTGGCATAAACAGAATGAGAACATGGATCCATCATGCCTTGTTACCACTGTGCAGGCTGTTGGTGGTGGTGTAATGGTGTGGGGGATGTTTTCTTGGCACATTTTAGACCCCTTAGTGCCAATTGGGCATCGTTTAAATGCCTAAGCATTGTTTCTGACCATATCCATCCCTTTATGGCCACCATGTACCCATCCTCTGATGGCTACTTCCAGCAGGATAATGCACCATGTCACAAAGCTCGAATCATTTCAAATTCGTTTCTTGGACATGACAATGAGTTCACTGTACTAAAACGGCCCCCACAGTCACCAGATCTCAACCCAATAGAGCATCTTTGGGATGTTGTAGAACTGGAGCTTCTTGCCCTGGATGTGCATCCCACAAATCTCCATCAACTGCAAGATGCTATCCTATCAATATGGGCCAACATTTCTAAAGAATGCTTTCAGCACCTTGTTGAATCAATGCCACGTAGAATCAAGGCAGTTCTGAAGGTGAAAGGGGGTCAAACACAGTATTATTATGATGTTCCTAATAATAATTTAGGTGAGTGTATATTACTCTATTGTGAATCTGCGGAAACGACAAAGAATTCTGTATTATGCAGGTCTGACAAGTAATTTGGCGGTCAATTTGTAAAGAAAAACTACGTTCCTGCGCACGTACATATTCAAACGTGCATATCTATAGACTAAACACGTAATATACATGTACACTGTTTTCAAAGATTCACATGTTTGAAGTTTACACGTAGATAACATTTCTCA